ATCGGCAGTTGCCGAGCACACTGTCAAAATATTTCCGAGCATATCGTATGCTGATTTTCCGACGCATCGGCATCGGCATTTTTCCGACGCTGCCGTCGGAAAAAGTCCGACCTCGCGAGCCTCGGAATTTTCCCCCCCTCAAGGTTGGAAAAAGTACGACGTCAGGGCTGGGTCGGTCGGGCCCGAGCCGAACCTGGGAAAAATCCTACCACTTTTTTTTTTCCACCGTCATCCTTGGATTTTCCAGACCTTCCGATTAACAGTGCTGTGAGCAAAGTTGCTCATAGGGCCACGCGCCGTGAGCAAAAGCCAGATCGGCGGAGCGGGGCACTTTAGAAGCAGGAGCTAGCTCCCTCACGAGCTATCTGCGAGCAAGGCTGCGCGCCTACTTCTGGCGCTGCCCGCGTCGGACGCAGCAGCCGAGCGTGCGTCTCGCACCGTCGCCCCGCGCGCCGCCACTGCACGAGCTACCAGAGAGCAAGATTTGCTCGCGTTGCTCGCGCCGGGTGGTAGCTCGTGAGCGAGCAAAGCGAGGGCGGCTGCGAGCAAACAGAGCTATGAGGCGCGGTCGGCGACAGAGGCGGGCGCTTGCTCTCAGTGCTCGCTCGTTGCAGGGCTCTAACAGGAGGCCGGGCAAGCTCCGGCCCGGCGGGCCCATCCCATACTCAGCGCCTCACGCACCACAAGTCGGGAGCCCGTCCGAGTCAGCCCGTCTGAGGCCTCTGGCTCAACCAGCTTCGAGGAAGGGCGGCTGAACGAGCCGGCTGCGGCTCCAGTGGCGGCGGCCGGGTCTGCCTTGATGAAGTTGGGTGCTCAGCTCGCCGAGGAACTTGTCGTTGACCCTCGCCATGCCGTAGGTGAGGGGGGGGGGGCACCGCCACCGCCAGGCACCGCAGCTGCTGCTCCTGGAGGACGAGAAACATGGGGTCGAGTCGCCGGGGACGGTGTAGAACATACACACCTCCATGATATCCCAGGAGAAGATGTCGCCGGGGTCCTTGCAGCCGGCGGTGCGCAACATGTAGCGAGCACCACTCCGACGTAGCCTCGGATCAGGGAGTCCTAGTGAGAGACGTGCTCGGCCTTCCCGGTGGTGCAAAACATCAACCACGGCAAGTCCTGGGCGGCCACCGACCACCTTGTAAGATGAGTCGGGATGTCGTACGCCTCCACTGCGCCGGACAGAGCGAAGCGCTCCCTGGAAAAACGGCTACGCATAAACGAAAAACAAAATAGAGCCGTGTTAAGTTTTAAACAAGGGAGACGACGTAGAACACAAAAAAGTAATCTTGTGCTTACCAATAAACTCGTTTTTCAACTTAAAGTGTCCCCCTTATTTTGGTGGGATCATCCAGACCAGAAAGTGCGTACTTCATTCGCAGTTACGAAATTGCGTCGTACAGCGGACGCAAGGTTCTATAGCGCCTGGACGGTAGGTAGCATCTTGCCTGCCGTGCATCCGTGTACTGCGGGATGGCCTACCCCAAATCTCGCAGGCGCCGAGCTCTCGTAATTTGCCGACTGAATAAGAGAAATAATACAAGGTTCACTCGCTCAGGGTTCTGGTATTGGCGTCGTGGGGTGTCGATACCTACATTAGATACTTACTGCGGAGATCTCGCCAATACACCCAAAAGAAACACCCGACACACCGCAGTTGCTCGCGATGTGCACCCAAAAAAGCGTGTTCTTGAGTGAAGTTTATGTGCTCAGCAGAACCGAGCACATTGTCTTGTCCCAATGCAAATTGCATTGCCCTAATGCAAATGATCTTGAGAAATCAGGGGTCAAGGACATGCTTTCCCTGGTTGTGCATTTAATTTCCCGGGCCACAAAGCCTCAATATCGACACGTGTTTGGGGTCCCCCGACCCCCACGACCACTTTGTGGAGAAGTTTTGGGGGTCCGCCGGACTTCCATGACCATATTGTGGACATGTTTTGGGCGTCCCCTAGGCCCTTATGAAGATAAAAATGTCAATTTTTCCTACTTTGAGCCAAAGTTGCGACCTGAAGACGTTGTTTGCCAGGAAAAACAAGGCCATACTGGTAATCTACGGGGAAAACCGATTCACTTTGGTGACGGGGGGGGACTTTTAATGTCGAAAACGGGGTCACGACGACTCACCCTACTATCAGTTTGCAGGAGGAAAAAGTGGTCATGCGGGATGAGGGGGGGGGGATAGATAAAGAGAGGGGGCGGTGAGTGGGTGGGTAGAGAGAGAAGGGGGGGGGGGGTGAACAGATAGTGCGAGAGAGTTGGGGGGACCATCACCAATTCGGTATAAATACAAGGCCGCCGGCTGGCAACGGCTCAGTCCCAGCAGGGACAATAGTTTCCAATATTGTTGAAGATGGTAAAGCAGTTGTCGTTCGTGTGCCCGCTGGCCCTGCTGGTGCTGCTGGCGTTCCTGCACCACACTGCGGCCTACTGTAACTTTTGGGAAGAGCCGTGCAACGGCGACTACCAGCTCAACGATGGCCATGGCTATGAGGGTAGGACTGCCCAAAACAGGAACATATTGTAATTCCCGACCACCTCACTTGGATCGAGTTCAAGGAAAAAACGAGTGCTTCGTATTCAAGCCGAGGATACCAGTTTTCGGGCAGTCTGAGTAAAATTAGGCAGTGCCTATTTTGCAGCTGGAAAACCAGTACGCTGTGCTTGCTTTTTTTTCCAGGCAGCTTTTCATGTTTCCCAAAGTGCCCAGCTTATTGTTTCCCGAGAAATCCGTCTTGGATTCCAAGCTGGTTGGCTTCCGGAAGAGGCAGCTTGGAAATCAAGCTCTCGTTTATGCCGCGTTGCGCTCGCAAGTTAGACCTACCCACAAATGTACCAGGTGGCTGATTAACCCCGCGCACCCTAAATTACACCTCCATCCCATAAAAAAAGGCTGTGCGGACGACCTTTAGGGATGGAGAAAACGAGATCTGCTCGTCCATTTTACAAGATGTCATTTTGACAAAGTCCGTTAGTAGTGAGTATAGAGGGTGGGTTGGGCGTTTTGCCCCCTTGGAGCAAATATGTATTCTGACCCGGATTCACTAGTGCGGCCGGGTTGCCTCTCGTCTAAAACCACGCCGCCTTACGGCCGAATAGGCCCCGTCCTCGTCCGCACGCCTGAACGCGGGCTAGTATATACTCATTCGCTCCAACGGGGCAAAAGACTCACCCTATGTAGTAGTTTGAAAAACGAGTGTTTTCCCCCACAGGCTGCGGCGATCGCTTCTACCCGATCTCTGCCCACGAGGGGGTGACGCCGTGGAAGCGGGTGAGCGACGTGGCGCACTGTGGCGTGCGGAGCTGCAGCAAAACGCTGACCTTCCAGGAGTCGACCAGCAGCACCTTCACCAAGTCGGACGGCACGACGTACACCGTGGGCGAGAGCGAGTCGTCCACGTCGGCGCGCGCCTTGGCCCACGCCTACAAGATTGGTTTATCGCTCAGCGCGAAGCTGGGAGAGATATTCACCTTCGGCGTGTCCAACGACTACACCCTGACCACCACGAACACCAACTCCAACACCCACGGAACGTCGCGCAGCTCGAGCGACAGCCGGTCATACTCCGTGGCCACGGGCAAGACCCTGTCACGCTCCGAGTCCATGATGTGCCAGGGCAACGCGGGCGACAAGCTGTACCTCAAGACGCAGTACCGCTGGATGGAGGTCAAGGGCAACTACTGCACCTTCGCATCTAAGGCTGACGACGCGTCTAAAAACTGGAAATGCGATTACATCGAGGCCCAGATCAAAGCCGTGCTGCCCGGCACCAACCAGCTCGACATGAACATCATGTGCGAGACGGAGCGCGACGGAGAGGTGTCGTTGGGCTGCCGCAGCATCGCGGGGCCCACCTTCGAGGACTACTGCAAGACCAACGGCAACATGGGCCACTGCCCCAGCACGCACTGCACGAAGTGAGCGGAGCGATAGTGTCCATAAGAGGTCCGAAGTAGTGTCATTTTCAACTTTCAAGTCAAAATGTACTCCTCCTAGGTATGAACATTGTCGTCAAAATAACTTCCGCGGCCCCATTTTGACGCTATTTTGACTTAGCGTTCTCGCTCAACCTTAGAATATTTTAAAGAGATTGTGACTGTCTCGATTTTAACCATGTTATAGTGCTAGATGCCAAATGTGACGTTCTGTTATTTTACAACATATTTGTATTATAGTCGCATAATGTTCCTTAATGTCACATGTAGCTCAAAAGATTATTTCCATTTGTACCTGTTGTGTTTTTATATTTTTTGTTATAAATCTGTAGTTTGTTTGCAGCATTGCAAACTGATGCCGTTGCTGTAAGCTGATTGAAAGAACCCGTGTGATATTTTTTTTCCAGCATGCATGGGCGTTATTTTATTTTTATTTTGGATTGTGGAGAGCTAAATCACAGAGTATTTTTTGCAAATAAATTAACTATTTGAACGTACGGTTGTAAATTTCCAAAAATTTCCGGAAACTTTCCGGAAAAATTCCGAAAATTTCCAAAAATTTTATCTAGGGCTTCCAACTGGAAGAGCTTTTTAGGGGAGTGGCTCGTTTGAACGACCACCATCTGACCAACCACATATTTTTAATAGTTATATTCGATTATATTTACCCAATGTTTTTGCCAAAGCAGACTGGCGGTTGGCGGTTGTAAACCATCGGTTGTGTAATAAAAAATACAAATAAAAATGCATTGATTTAAAAAAAAAATAAATGAAAAGGCTTTGACCGAGTGTACACCCTGTTAAACCGCGGGCGCTTTATTGATCAACACTGAGTTAGATGCGCTTTAGGGAGGCGGGCACCTACCACCTGCTGAACGCCAGCCGCAAGCAAGCATCTGCGCGCGTATGCGTACAAAAACGACAGGTGTGAGTGAGATGCTTCAACTGCGCTACAGCTCCATCTCACGTCCACCTGCCGTTTTCGGACGCCTGCTCGCTGCGACGCCCGCTCGCTGCCGGACTGTGTCGCTTGTCGGCCGGCCCGGAGCGGCCCGCCTAGACAGGGTTGGTGATCCGTTCCGTGTTTTTTTTTCTGCTTATACTGTACCGGATTCATGCAGTGCGGCTCCCAGCGGGTCGCAGTGGGACGTACCAGCTGATCTCATGTCCTGTAGGCCGATAGGCACGCGTGAATCCCGAGGTGAATCCGGTACAGAATATGCCGACCCGCTGCGAGCCGCACTGAGACCCCTGCTAGACGTTTCCCACTATTTTGAGTCGACTAAAAAGGCGCTGATTGGGTCAGATCTTCTTGCTTGTTGCGTACTTACTCGGAAAGATAAGCGCCCAGCATCAGGAAATAGCGTACGTCACGACCCCAGCCCCTTCCCTCCTGAGGTGAGTAGACCAAGTTACATCGTACACTCAAGGTACAAGTACTGTTAAATGCGCATATTTACAGTCGAATCTGCAACCCCGCCAACCCCGCACTACTTCTGTGTTTTTGCTGTACCGCACGCACGAGGAGTGCGGGCGGGCTTGTCTATCGTCCCTGTCTACAGCGCCTTACAGGCCGAGCGAGTAGGCCTGTAGACTGGGTCTACGGAGACATGCCTCCACGAGCACACTGGCTAGTCCAGCGAAGTCCGCTCTCCCCGTGTACGCAAGGCAAGCACTTGGGACAAAACGGTACCCAGATCAAAATTAGCAACACGAATATCGCTTATTTGAAGTTATCTAAATTATGAGAGAACAGTATTGGTAGTTTGGTTGACATAACGTGGCCTATGATTCATCAGTAATGAGTTCACAT